AGACAGACGATGGTTGTACAACGCTGTGAAGGTACTAACTGCCACTGACTTGCTTGCGTTTGTTTGTTTTCTTTTGTGACACTGGGCATTGAACCCAAGGCCTTCACACGGTGCTACATCCCCAGCCCTTTTTTATTTTTTATTTTGAGAGAGGGTCTCACTAAGTCAGTAAGTTGCCCAGGCTGGCCTTCAACTTGTGATCTCCCTGCCTCAGCCCAGAGTGCTGGGATTACAGGTGTGCACCATCACGCCTGGTTTGAACCCTAAAATGATTAATTTTATAGTACGTGAATTTTACCTGAATATAGAAACTATTAAAATTAAAGCACCCGTCATCTTCAGAAGTAAGGGGAGGATTTTGTTCCCACTCGGTAGGGCTAAGAGGATGAAACAGCTCTCCGCATTCTAGCATTGGCCACCTCTCGGTCTCTTTGTGAGAAGTGCAGCACTTCCCCCACGCCTGCAGCACAGAAGTACCTCAGGCCATCCGCCTGCCCACACCGCGCACCTTCACAGCAACAGAGCGGCTGTGTAGCTGCAGCCACCAAGCACCGACTGGCCGTCCGCAGTCAGCTGAGGGCCTGTGTTTACCACACACGAAGGCCAAGCAGGCCGCGTGGCCCAGCCGGCTGCGGAGAGGGGCACTCTGCGGCAGCGACGCCAGACAAAGACAAAGACATTTTAATTCAGTACAAGAATACAAAGACCGTAAGATCTCCACATACTTTCAGGATCAAACCCAGTGTCAACAGAGAACAGAAGGATCTCTGGAAGAGAGGCAGTGTCCTCCTTTTTGGCTCTTTTTATACTCAGAAGAACAAATGCTTCAACACAGAGATCCAAAGCAGTCAGCTCTTAAACAGAAAGCAAAGCCCAGAGCTTACGGGGCATAAAAACACATTTAGAACAGAGGGGAAAAAGAAAGGACTTGAAAGGGAAACTATAACACAACAGCACCAAAAACATGGGCCAACCCACACTTCAGAAGGGCAGGTGAAGGCTGCCTGGTCCTCCCAGCGCCCGCTCTACCCACCCATCAGGGTGGAGTCAAAGCAGCAGACACACAGGCCTCGAGAGCCCTCCTCACCCACCTTCTGAACACTCCGAGCGCCTCACGCTCGGCTTCCGTGCTCTCTCATCTTCCCAGCTTTGGACCTTAGGATATTGTCTTCCTACGATGTCCTTGTGCCCTCCGGGCTGAATACTTGGCTTTGAGCTGCTTTTAAACGTTCCTGTTCGTGACTGTTTATCCAGTCAGCCAGGCCCAGGAGTGTGACTCAACACGCGCCCTTACAGGTGTGGAAAACGTTCAGGCCTGTCATGAATCCTTCCTTTCCGAGGTGTAGGCCTCAGGACATGGCCTTAAATAAGCTACAAGACTTTAGAAGGCATCTTTAAATATACTGAAAAGCAAAAACTTTCAAAATTCCTCTAATTCCACTGCAAAAAGCCACGGACTCAGACTGTATATTTATATATAATATATATTACACGTATGTATAATTTTTCCTATGTTGGTGAGGAAAAAATATGTGTTCTTGTCACAAAATGTTCTTCATGCTACAGATATTGCAATATTATTTCCCTGGAAAAAATCTTAACAAGTGAAAAGCATCTGTTTCCTATGTTTGTCATGGCATGAAATGAAATGCAAAGTGGGGTAAGCTGCAGGTAAGGCTTCTAGTTTCCCTTTGATGGGAATGCAGAGACGCAGAAGCAGTTTTGATTTGCCTTGGTGTTATGCAATACAGAAGGTGACTACCATGTTACCTTTGCACAACGCCCGCCCAGGGCCGGGGCAGTTCCGGTCAGCTTCATCCTGACATCACAGCACAGTAGCTAAAGAGCAGCATGTGAAATCACACAACCTGGCTCAGGATTACTGACTCCGGTCTTTGGCAAGTCCATGGCACTTTCTGAGCCTTCTCTCCACTTGTAAGATGTGCACAGTAAGATCCATTTGTATTATTTAAAGTCACTATGATGGGTTGCACCGTGCCCGCCAAAAGATAAGGTGAAGCCCTGATTTCTGTACCACAGAAACTGACCTTACTGGAAACAGGGTGAGTAGAGATTAGTTAAGATGAAGTCACAAAGGAATAGGGTGAGCCCTTAATCCAGGATGTCTGGTTTCTTAAAGAAGAGGGAAGATGACCATTTGAAGAGGCAGACACACAGCAGGAAGCCATGTGACAACAGGCAGAGATCAGAGGGTGCAGCTGCAAGTTGAAGAATGCCAAGGATGCTAAGAACCAGCAGAAGTTCAGAAGAGGTAACAATCCCCTTCCAACATGTCTCAGAGGGAGGACGGCTCTAATTCAATTTTGGACTTCTAATTTACAGAGCTGGGAAAGAAATTTCTGTTGCTTTAAGCCATCTGGCTTCCGGTAGTTTGTTATGGGAGCCTTAGCAAACTAGTTTGGTGGTGGAGGTCTAGTGTGTGTGTGTGTGTGTGTGTGTGTGTGTACAACAGAAGAAAGGAAGAAAAAAGCAAGGACGTATTTCTTATGTATCTGCTATGGACTAAACGTGTCCTCACAGCTTGTGTCCTGAGTTAGTTATTCTGAGAGTTGACTTGTCCTAAAAGTGAACTTGGCCTTCCCTTGCTCCTCACTCTTGCCCTCTGTTGCCTTTCCACCTCCGCCATGAGATGCCGCTCCACAAAGGCCCTCACTAGATCACAGTGCCGTGCTCTCCAACTTCCCAGCCTCTTGTTGGGCCAGCCATAGGCCCAGAAGTCTATTCCTTATAAATTAGCCAGGTATTGTGTTATGCAAGGGGTGATCAAAATATACAGTGAATATTTTTTTAAAAATTATTACAGAAAAGCCACGTTGTCATTAACCACGCCTCCCCACTAAAGACTCCCTCATGTCTAACACACTTATCCTATTATTCTTGCCACTTTTTGAAGCAGTTCTAGAAGTCCTCTTTGGGAGCGTCTTTATGAGGTATGATTTTCAAAAAACACAATAAATGCTGCTGCCATCTGCCACCCAATGGAAAGGCAAGCTCACAGAGACAGCACTGGACATCCTCGTCCACCTTATGCACTGGATTTGGCGGCACGCAACTTCTGGCTCTTCCCCAAAGCCAAAGGGGCCATGAACAGTAAATGGCTTGAATGGATTCAGGACATCAAGGCAGCCACGGCCGTGCAACTAAAGACACTCATAAAAGGGGACATCCAGAACTGCTTCAGAAAGTGGCAAGAATGATGGGATGAGTGTGTTCAAAGCAAGAGGCGGGTCCTGGGGGTGGTTCATGGCCATGTGTCTTTTACTCTGATAATTTTTTTTTAAACATTCATCATATTCTTTTTTTAAAAGTACTGGTATATGTGATATGTGGGATATTGGTACACACACATCACATCTCAATCCTTTTCACCTTCCCTTTCTCCCTGCCTTCCATCTCCCCCCATTGCCAGGTCCCCTTCCCAGCTCCGAGTCTATCTCCTTGCTTCCTATCATCTTTCTTATAGTTCACTCTTTAAATTATTTATACTTTAAATTTCTCATATGAGAGAAACCATACAATATTGAGCCTGCTATGTCTGATTCATTTCATTTAGCATTACAGACTCACAGTATGCCCACTCTCCTAAATCGTATTTTTTGATCAAACTGCATAGCAGTAGAAAACGGACTGAGAAGCACCTAAGCCATGGAAATGTCATTATTTCCTCTGGACTGACACTGCCTCTCCCCACTCACCTCAGCCACTCTTCTCCAGCACTCTGCTCTGGGCTACGCCCACTCCCTCCGCCTGCACCATGCCCAGGGCCCCTCCTGACTTCCCCTCTTCCCTCCCCGAGACTTCTTCTAGCGACTTGATTGAATACAACAACTGGAGCCACCTCCAAAACCTCCAAACCCCTTGCTCTACTCTATTCTTCCCCCATATTCACACTGACTTCTAACGTCCTAGTCATATGTTTGTTGTGCACAACTTACTGTTCCCCTTCACACCAGGACACAAGCTCCAGAGGGCGGGGATCTACACTTGTGTTGTTCACTGATGGGAATAAGCATCTAAAATAGACCCAGCTCCCTGACGGTGTTTAACAAGGAATTTAAAAATCCATCATTCAGCCAAGTATGGTGGCACATGCCTATAATCCCAGCACTCGGGAGGCTGAGGCAGGAGGATCACTACGAGTTTGCCGACCAGCCTGAACTACATAGGGAGACCCTCTCTCAAAAAAAATCCATCATTTATTTCCAAAACTTACCTTATTATTATAGAAGCTATCATATGCATTATAAAAGAATAGAAATTTAAAAACCCTCAGATTCCTACCATCCAATAAAATCTCTGAAATTATGATAAAAAAGCAGTTGCTTATATTCTTTTAAGTGACTCCCGAAGGGGCATGTCACCTAAGGAGAAATGTCATACAGCAGGCATAATACCTACCTCACAAGTTTTGGTGTATAGATTAAGTCAAATAATGCATCTAAATACTTAAAATAATGTTTGCCATAAAACCAAATACAGTTTAGTTGTTATATGCAGCCCTTGGGTCTTGTCTTTAACTTCTGTCCCTTCCCCTAGCTCCCAAAGAGTAGGCAGCAGACACCAGGCAAAGAATGGAATGATGTTCTTCTTAGAAGGCAGGCAGGTGAGGATGCCTTCTGCCCCCAATGCTCAGAGAAGGAGTACTGAACATGGAAGTGCTCCAGTCCCAAGTCACCATGAGATGCAAGGCCAGTTTCATACAGCAACAAAACACTAAACAAAGATAACGTTTTTATATTACGTGCCATGTCTATGAAATTTTCTTTTATGAATGAAAGAATACAAATGACTTCTACAAGGTTACTCAGGTGGCAAGGCGAGGGGCAACGAATTAAATCTAGAGTTGGAAAATCATCAGTGAGAAGGATCATTTAGCTTAATATTTAGTGCAAAACGTACTACCCCCTCTGCAGTTGCGTTCACAGTCAGTGAAACAGCCTCTAGTCCTTGCTGCCCCATCTTCTACACAGGTGACTTACCTATCTTCGAAAAAGTGAGTCCTTTTGCTCTGGATAATTCTCCACCAAAATCTTCTTATACAAAGGAAAATTCACCCTCAGTGGTGAGCGCACCAGGAAATGGGGCAACTGCTGACAACCAGGGAACCACTGCTCCTGTGAACTGGAGAGGAAAAACAAAACATCAAGATGTTTTACATCTTTCAGCCTCTCTTGGAACCCTTTAATATAAATCTGTGTTCTGTTCCTTGGCAGAAGTCAGCACAAAGAGATCTTTTTGTTTGTTTGCTCATTTTTGCTGAGGTTGCCAGCTAGATTTAAGAAATATGAAATTTCCATATGGTTCCCACTTTTGAAGGGGTAAAGAGCATCACACCCATGAATACTGAGACTTGTATAATCTTACAGGCAGACCAGACTTCTCACATTTATTCTTCATGGTAGTTTAGCTAAAACCCAAGGAGCCAGAAGGCCTAAATTCAAGCAGGGAGTAAATGCAAGAAGCATTAGGCTGTCTCCTCTCCCAGAGGTAGTGAAGGCACTTTTGCTCAAATACAAATCACAGAACTCACCGGGTTAAGGAGCTCCCTTTCGGTAGCCCATACACAATCCAATGTGATTGAAAACCACAGCATGACTGAAGGATTTAACTGGAATGGAGGAGGGAAATATACAGGAGACAACCCCAGATTCAAACGTGACTGTCACAAAACCCAGTAAAATAAGACAGCACTCTAGTTGTCTAGCTGTCTGGCAATGACACTGGAAGAAATCCCTCCAAATCTCAGGCTGTCAGTGGATGCTGGCCCGTGGCAGCCCCATGTGTCCTTAGAGCAGGCTTCTCAGCTCTGAGGGACTACCTTGAGTCCAATCAACTTCCCATTCAGTACAATTAGAAAAGCCTGGTAAAAAAAATATTTTAAAAACTTGCTGGCAGGCAGGCATGGTGGCGCACACCTATAATCCCAGCACTCGGGAGGCTGAGGCAGGAGGATCATTGTGAGTTTGAGGCCAGCCTGGGCTACAAAGTGAGCTCAAGGCCAGCCTGAACTGCATAGCAAGATCCTGTCTCAAAAAGACAAAAAAAATGAAAACAACTCAGACATTTCGCACTGCTCTTTTGAGACATCTGGTTTATCAGGAGCACCGAGCAAAACTGAGAAGCCAAGGAGAAAGCAGCTGTGTAGAGCATATGACCTGAGCAGACTTTGTGTCCAATTATAGGCTGAGAAGATCTGAGCAAGACAGGAAAAGCAGAGGTATGAGGTCAACATTCTGCCCCTCTGAGCATGTGCCGATTGATAAATGGTTTTAATCAACCAGAGAGAAGCGGGCTATCCAGACAGCTCTGCAGTTGCCTGGAGCTGGGGGTGGGGTCACTTGAAAAAGGGCCCAGGTAACAATCCCTGAAGGGCACGAAGGCTGAAAACACATCAGAACCCAGCCTCCCATCACTGCAGTCCTCCCCGCCCTCACTGGATTAAGGAGGTCTGCCCCATTCTATATGCTTATCAGAAACAGAGGAAGCCTCGGAGAGAAAAGGGCTCACCTTCAACAGAATCCACAGTTCTTTATACAAAATGCACAGCATCCCATCAGTATGACAAGGCATAGCAGTGCATATAAAGGGTGATCAAAAAATAGGGTGAATGGGAAAACTTTAAAAATGTATTATAGTAGGAAACACATTACCATTAATCCCCCTCCAAGTACTCCTCCCCACTCTGACCACATCCCACTATTCTCGCCACTTTCCAAAGCAGTTTCGAAAGTGTTCATGTCTACGAGCGTGATGACAAACACAGTGAGTGGGGCTACTGAGTGCCATCCAATGGAAAGGCGGGCTCGCGAAGACAGCACGATGGGTCCTGATCACCTCTTCACCAGATCAGCCGCCACACAACTTCTGGCTCTTCCCTCAAGTCAAAATGACCTTGAAAGGCAAATGGTTTGAACAGATTCAGGACATCAAGCCAGCCACCACAGTGCAACTAAAGACATTCATGAAAGAGGACTTCCACACCTGCTTTAGAAAGCAGCAAGAATGACGGCACAGGCACGTTCAAAGGGAGGGGGAGCATTCTGATGGAGATGAATGGCAATGTGTATTTTACTGCAATAACTTTTAAGATTTAAACACACCATATTTTTGATCACCCCTATATAACGTAAGTTATGTAGGTTTGAAAAAGAAAGAAACAAAAAAAAAACTCAGAAGCAACTCAGCCAGACACATAGGATGTAGCCTTTAAAGTAACTATGACTACTATGTTCACAATGATAAAAATTATAAAGTTTTTCACCACAAATCTCAGTAATTCACAGAAAGAGAAAAAGTGAGTAGGATACAAAATATTTGAACAAATAACAGTCAACCTTAGTCACCTATATATAGCAACATTGCACCCTACAACTGTTGTTATATATTCTTTTAAGGGACACATGAAACATTTACAGAAATTGACCATACAAGGTCCACACTGTAGGTCTCAAGAAGTTTCAACAAGTGGAAATTATAGAGTATGTTTTAAAACATATTGTTTTGAAATAGAGATTCACAGGAAATTGTAAAAAATATAATTTAGGTTTTTGAAACTGTAAAATTGACCTACAGAGAAGTACACTGTTCTTAAAGAGCATATAATTGATACATTCCAATAAGGGAAATCCAACAATGTAATTGTGACCAAAATGAAAATACTGAACATTTCTACCACTCCAGAAAGCCCCTTCATGGCCCCTTCAGTCAATCCCCACACCCCACTGAAAATGTCATTTCCACTATCACAGTCTTGCCTGTTCTAGAGCTTAATAAGATGGGCCCACACAGCGTGTGTTCTTTTGTGTCTGGCTGCATGCATAACGTCTGAGATTCATCCATACTGTTAGTGTATCAACAGTTTGCTAATGAGAAACATTCCATTATATGAAAATACCACACTTTTTTACATTTTCTCCTGTAAATGGATATTTGATTGTCTCCACTTGGGGGCTCTTTTTGAATAAAGCTAAATATTCTTGTACAAGGCATTTCTGTGAAAACGTAAGCTGGGTAAATTCCTTACACTAGGAATAGAATTGCTAGGTTATAGGCTGATCAATACTAAATGCTATAAGAAATTGCCAAATATTTTTCTCAAATGGTTGTATCATCGTATACTGCCATCAGTAACATATGGCAGTTCTAGTTGACACAGCCACATCAATAATTGGTGTGGGAAAACTTTTAGTTTGAGTCATTCTAGTGAGACTCCTATAATTGAACAACAAAATACAACTCTATTTTTTAAATGGGCAAAGGATTTGAATAGCTATTTCTCCAAAGAAGGTATCTAAATGCCAACTAGTCCATGAAAGGATGCAGAACCACAAAGCATCAGGGAAACACAAATCAAAATGACCTGAGCTACTATCTCATACCCGTGAGGGTAGCCACTAAGAAAACTACAGAAAGTAAGTGTTGGTAAGGATGTAAAGAAATAGGAACTCTTTTGCACTATTGGTAAAAATGTAAAATGGTACAGATGCTTCTAAAAATAGTATGGCAACTTCTAGAAGAAGCAATAAATTAAAAAAATAAAATTACCATATGATCAAGCAATTCCACTTCTGGTACACATACAAAAGAAGTGAAAGCAAATAAGTTTTTTTCAAATTATTACAAATAGGCAAATTGGTAAACAGAGATCCCATAAATGAAGTCTGACTGTATTTCTATCTATGATTTTAAGTCCAAAGTCTGGTTTTCTTTTCTTACATTTCTTTCTATTTAGATAGAATAACCAAGTGAAGTTCCAAATAAACTGGACAAATAGCAGCAAGGTGTGAACTAACTGAAGCAGCTTCATGGACACCCACGTTCTGTTAAGGTAGCTTGTCTGCTGTTGCCCACTTGCACATGAGACCCCTGTGCCACCTCTACTCATTTCTTTTCTCCTATCCTCAGAATTTTGCAGAATGCTCAAAACACTTTGCAGTTCAGGAATGAATGCCTGATCACTAACTGACCAAATATAAGGAATAAAATCTGCAAGGGTGAGGCAATGTATGTTTGCTCCGAAATCCTGGGAACGCAGGGAAGAGGAGAAAGCAGGAAGAACAGTGTGCCTCTGAGGGCCCACAAATGCGGCCTCAAAGGTGAACTCCTCTGAAGAGGTGACAAGTGGAGCTGAAACCTGCCACGGCCGTGGAGAGGACACTCACAGCCCCCGCTATCTGTGGGGTCGTCTGCGTTAAGCTTGCAGTCAAGCAGTCAGGAAGCGTGGGTGTCACCCCATTTCTCCAGAACTCACTTCCTTCTAGTTCATGGTGCCTGGGACCTAGCGTTGGAGAACAGAGTGTAACAGAGACCACAGCGGAGTTACTCAGAAGGCTTCTGCCCAGGACGGTGACTGTGCGCTTTTTGGTGCCAGACAGACAGAATTAAATTTCTACCTGCATGACTTCAGTTTTGCTGGCAGATATAACACAGTCACTTTGAGCAGGGTCTTCTCACTCACGCAGGGACACCACTGTGAGTGGCTCTCCATGGATGGCAGGGCCTCAACAGTAATACTTTCCTCCTTGTCCTCCTCTTAGGCTCCAACCTGACAGTAGGGAACAAGGAAGGATCTGGGCCAGGAGACCCATATTCCCATTTTGCCAGATAGGAAAACCATATTATAAATTTGGAAGAAAAAAAAAGATATAAATCACTTCCCCCCTTCCTCCTTTACCTCCAGAATGGGAGTAGAAAAATTCTGCTCTTCCACTTCCTGCCTTCCTCAGCCTCCTACTCAGGGGAACTCCTGGGAAGATGTAAGGAGAGACTGTAGAATGTAGAGAGACAGACTTTTTGGAGCTGAAGTGGGATCTGAGGAAGGAGGGAAAGGGGAGGGGAGTCAAAATGATCATGATGCAATACGTATACAGACCGATTCCTCAAAACAAATGTAATTACTGTGTATTGCAAATATATACTAAATTTTTTTTCAGAAAAATGATGTAGATGTAAAGGATCTAAAAGCTGTGCATTTTAGCGTGCCTGTGGGCACCGGGCTGAATGCCGGACATATTCAGGAACACTGGTGAGCCTCCCCGGCACTTCCCCAACCAGCGTGCAAGGCAGGCAGAGCCCCTGACACCTTCTGGGGCCTCAGGGGCCACTCCCCACACCCTTAGTGTGCCTGCAGGCACCAGGCTGAAGCCGGGACATACCGAGGAACCCCAGTGAGCTGCCACTGTGCCTCCCCAGCGTGCCAGGCAGGCAAAGCCCTGGACACCTTCTGAGATCTTGGGGGCAACTCCCTGCACCCCTGGATCCCCAAGAGAGCTGGGCTGAATCCCAGACATCTTCAGGAAGTCCACCAAGCCACTCTCCACTAGCGTGTGAGGCAGGTGAGCCCCAGACACCTTCTGGGACCTCAGTGGCCACTCCCAGCACCCCCTGCACCCCCGTGGGAGCGAAGCTGAAACCCAGACAGTCAGCGGCCTTGGACACTCCGTCCTCACTCCACCCCTGCGAGCGTGGAAAGGGGTCTGGATCCTGGGCAACATCTGAAGCCTCAGTGACCACGACCTGCACCTCCCAAACCTTGTGGAAGCTGGAAGAACCCCAGAACTCCAGAAAGTCTCTCCCGCCCCTCCCCCACCAGCCTGGGAGCCCACTGAATGTAAGCAGGTTTCAGGAACATCTGGGACCCCACCTTCCCGCCACACACCAGCACAGGAGGCATGCTGAGCACTGGGGATCTTCAGATCCTCGCCCCGCCACTTTCACACCATCCTGGGAGTGAGGCTGAGCTCCAGGGAACCTCTGGATCTTCAAAAATGACAAAATGAAGGAACAAAATGCAATCTCAGACTTCTACCCTACCCAGAACATGTCCAGGTGACACTAACACAGAAGAGCCTGGAAGTCATACACCTGAAATTTCTGAAATGATGCCAAACGAAACAAACAACTCCATCAGGCCATAAAAGACATCACATCAGAAATAATCTCTCAGGTAAAAAGAAAAAAGAAATGACAACAATAATGAAAGAATTGCTCAGCACATCCAAAGAAGACACTGATAAGAAAATAGAGGAGCATAGAAAATTCATGGAAACCTTGAGTGAACAATATAGAAAAGAACCAGAATGCATAAAACAGACTCAAACAGATATCCAGGAAATTAAAAATTCCATCAAAACCTGGCAAAACCACCTGAATGAAGTTGAAGATAGACTTTCAGATCTTGAAGACAGCATTGCCACTAACGAATGTGAAAGGATCTCTTAAAAACAAAAAGGAACCAGGAAATAACAATTCAACAACTGCAAGATGAAGCAAAGAAAAACAATGTCAGATTAATATATATCAATGAAACAGCAGGTGTCAACAAAAGTGACATAAAAAGACTATCTGCAGAAATAATAGCAGAAAATTTCCCAGACATGGAAAAAGAATCAGACATCCAGACAAGTGAGGCACATAGAACTCCAGTTAATCACAGCCAAAATAAATCTATACCCAGACATATACTGATCAAGATCCCAGAAACTCAACAAAAAATCAGAATATTAAAAGCTGTTAGAGAAGAGAAACAGATCACCTATAAAGGAAATCCCATCAAAATCATGGCAGATTTCTCAACACACACCATCAATCAAGAAGAGCTCGGAGTGAAGTATTTCAGGTACTGAAAGAAAACAACTTCTAACTCAGATTAATGTAACCTGCAAAGCTATCCTTCAAATTTAATAGAGAAATAAAATATTTCCATGATTATGAACAACTGAAGAAATTCATGAGCAGCAAACCAATCTTACAAAGAGTACTAAAAGATATTCTAGAAAGAGATTAAAAAAAAGATGACAACCTCAAGAACAACACCAGAAAGAAACCACCAAGCAGAGCAAGCAATTAAATGGAGGGAAAAAGGAGGAACCAACAGCAGGAAAACAACATGACAAAGATAAGCCAATACATACCACCTATAACTGTCAATGTAAACAGTCTCAATGCATCAATCAAAAGAAGTAGACTGGGGCTGGGGATTTAGCTCAGCGGCAAAGCGCCTGCCTGGCAAGCACAAGGT